ACGAAAATGTTTTGTCTAAATTGAATTTATTTACGGTAAATTAAAATAAGTTGTACCTAATTTCAGTGAAAGATTTCTAATTAAAAACAAAAATTACAATAGGGAATCAAGTTACAGTCGAAATATGTTTGCAAAATTACTAATTTAAAGAATATTAACAAGACAATTACGACTCCTGATGTTAACAAATACTTCAAAATGCTCAGGAGAAAAACAACAAAACACTACTTCTTACAGGTTTAATTTCAGTTTGATACCATTAATTTGCACTTGCATATAAACAACTTTTTTGCTTTAATATTTTGTAGAGTGATAAGAAAATTTCAAACAATAAAATGAATTTTCGCGCAACTTTAACGATATGAAACTATGCATTAATAATATGTTTTACATGTAACAATTAATTGAAAAAAAGCATTTAAATAGTGAATCACTATAAGAGAAGCTATGGTGCATGTTATTAAGCTACATAATTGTTCTGTCCATTTACTTTTCGTCAATTCAAAAACCGGAGAAGACCCAACGGATATTGTAAATTGTTTTTGAAATATTTCAAAAGCAATCAGTTATCAGTAAAATATATATCTAATTGGAATGCCAAAGTACATGTAATTAATAATATATGTAATTCAGACTCCATGTATATAAATCGTGCATAGATAAGGCAACAATTTTATAACTCTTTTGTTAAACATTAAGTAACAAAATTACGACTACTTACGTGACTAAAACGACTAAAAAGCAAAGTATTTACTTTTCTCTGTAATACGTGTTAGACAAAACAATTTTGGAATATAATATATGATAAACAAGATCAACAAGGAAAGGCGGCGTTCAATGAACGCAAAAACTACTTCTAAGTCAGCTGACTCATGCAAAATTTATGCTCAATTTCTTTATTCGTTTTGCAAAAATTATTCTTGAAAAAATATGTTTCTGAAAATTATAGAAAACTTGAAAACTCTAACTGTATTCTATAACTGTATTTGTCTCGTATTGATTCCTGTTATGAATGGAATTAGCAGTGTCATCTGTTGAATACAAGCAAAAATCAGACAGAACATTTATTAATAAACAAAAAAACATCTCTTTTATTTTATGAAGGCAAGCGTCTGCGTTACGATTTATAATGAAAAGAGGTACAATTGATTCAGAATAAAAATAAACAAATGTTTCAAAGATTTAATTCTCTACACTTATGAATATATTTTATGATGTTTAAAAGCTTTTTATTTTGCGATCTCTCTGAATTAAGAAGAAAGAAGTCCGACATGACACCAGTACAATTACGGTAACATAAAAGTATGTGTCGTTGCCATGAAAAATAAATTTTACAGTGAAAAAGAAAAACGGAAAATGAAAATATGCATTTAACTGCATCATATTTTAAAGTATTTCATTTTAAGTATATACTAACTTGTTATATTGTAAAAAATGGGATTTTATTTCTTAAACTTTAAATGAAATAAGAAGAAAAATAAAGACATAACCGTTAATCAAAAATATCAATAGTTTTTGGTTTTCCGCCAAACATAGAGGGCGGCTTGTCTTGTGGGCTATGACTACGGGAAAAACTGCTTCAAAGCATAGTGTTTCCAATTTGAGAGACACGTTTCTAATTTAATCAAATTATTGTGAGGATTTATTGATAACGTTGCAAAATAGTTGCTAAATAGTTTAAAAAACAAAACATGGGCGTCCTTTTGTGTAACAATAGATAGATAATCACTAGAAACAGAATATACATCGGGGTACAACTGATATTAGTTATAAATTATTATAGTAAACAAATTATATAGATTATCAGATACAGACGAAACAAATATTATAGTTTACATAAATTTAAACCGATACTTCTATACTCAACTGTTGTATTATTATATTTTCATTGTTTTCCAAGGATCACTTCTTGCCAAATTCAAACTTAGAACAACGGGGGCAAATTGCTGTGCGGAGCCTCCTGTTGTATCAGTTCTATTGTTCACATATATCGCACGTCCTTTACACGGGGGAGGAAGTGTTACACGAAGGATGGAGTTCTTATGATAACTTGTTTGGAGTTCTTATGATAACTGTCTCGGAGTTCCTGGAAAACGTTACGGATTTCTATGGAAAACCTTTCAATAGACTTGGAGGAAACACATGAAAAATGGTAAGTTTTGCCTTTAAATGGGGAGTTTGAGGTGCTAAATTAAACCTTGATAATTAAGCTAGCCATACATATTGTATTTATGTTTCAGAAAAACCTTTTAGACCATTTTTCATCGCCTTTTTTAAAAATAATCTGGTAGTTTTGAGTAAAATTTCCAAATAACTTGCTCATTTGTACATATTAACATTTTCATTTGTGACCTTCTTATTGTTTTACCTAATTACCTAAATATAATGGAGATTTTGGCAAATATATAGCCCAGGTTAATGAATTTGGTACCCGATTTTTTCAAATGTCACGGAGTTCTTGTGATAACTCAAAATATGTTCCAGAGTTCTTATGATAACTTTTGTTACTGCCAGTGTGTTTCTTGACTTAATTACGGCACGTTTAAGCGTAATTTTATTTGTCAATAAGTGTGTAAATCATTAAGGAGCATAGTACGCTTATCATTTGCACAAATATTTGGTTATATAACGTTGGTTTAGAGTGTATTTCATTTCAAGAGATATTTTTCTCACCTCCGTTTCTTGTGTTTGTTTGGGTTTTTATGTGTTTCTTTGTTTTTTGTTGCTGTCTTTTTGTATTTTTTATTTATTGGAATGACTTTAAACATACTTGATGTAGAGCATTGACTTAGAGGATAAAAATGCGCTTTGAATTTAATTCTCAAGCATGATTTCCTCATGTATATATTAGTCCTGGCAGTTTTAGAGAACATTAAGTAACTATGATATCGCAGTATCGGTCTGCGGAATTAAAATATATGTAAATGGTTTGTAGCAAACTAGGAATTAATATGCACTACCTTTATCAAAATTTAATGTGGTGGGTGTCATCTTTAGGTATTCAACGGATATTTTACTTTCTAAAAGGTATCATTTTTGTCATAGAAATGTATAAAGTTCTATGACAATACAAAGAAAGTAAGTCTTTGATAAGATATGTGAGTCACCGTTAGCTTCATGCCGTTTATCGACCATGTTCCTTTCTCTATTTAATCCAAAGTAGCATCACGTGACGTACATAAATCTCCATATTTCGGAAAATTATTGCATACATTTTTCCTACAAAAGTTGAAGTCCTACGGGCATTCCACCTATATAATCCTAGTTGTGGAAACTTTGCAACAACTTTTGCTGTAATTGATAACAAAAATAAATCGTTCGAACCCGTAGGGCACGTGCAAATCTGTAGTAGAGATCGATAGTGATCGGTTGATTTTTTTATATATAAAACGATTATACATTTCGGGTGCACGGGTGTGAAGGATATCCCGGTTATATACTTGTTGTTAGTGATATAAAATGATACAAATTACTTTTCCACTTCTTGCTTGAGGAAAGCCTAAATATGAGCCGTGTCACGACAAAACCAACATAATGGGTTTGTGACCAGCATGGATCCAGACCAGCCTGTGCATTTACGCAGTCTGATCAGGATCCATGCTGTTTGCTATCAGTTTCTCTACTTGTAATAGAGTTGGTTAGCGAAAGCATGGATCCTGATCAGACTGTGCGGAGGCGCAGGCTGGTCTGGATCCATGCTGGTCGCAAACGCACTGTGTTAGTTTTGTCATGGCGCGGCTCATATATATTGTCTCCTTAAGAAAGTCGGTTGCTTTAAACATGTAACTGAGAAATAAGTGTAAGTTTTTTTACAATTTTTGCTTGGCGGCTTAAGCCATGTTACTGCTATATACAGGGGACCGCTGATACAGGTTTTTCTGAAGATAGCTTATCACCTGCTTATCCTTTGAAGACTGTACACCAAAACAGTTTCAAATAAAATATTTGGGGTTATTTACCGATAATTTATTTTTTAGAAGTGCAAACTGTCGGCTGCTGTATGTTTCATTATACACTTGTATGCAACTTTTATAACTTTGGAAGAATTAAGTGATTGCTTACAATATCCTTCATCATACAAGTTAAGATTATGTTGTATTTTTCAGGAACGATAAACTCATGAAAGTTAAATCTAACAAGGAGAGATAACTGCTTTTTACCTTTAAGGAAAATTACCCTTATTACAGACTGTACTTAGCAACAAAAGGCTTAATGAATACGCTAAGATTATCTTGTTTTTTTTGTGTTAATTAGTAATATCTCGCTCTCTACGCAAAAGTTATGGTAACGTTTCAGTGCCTATTTTAGAATTGTTCTCTCTGGAGGATTATGATATATTCATGTATATAATGGTGATTTTTAAAATAATGTTATTGATAATATATTAGTTTTTTTTGTATAAAATACCGCTGAATGACTGGTATGCACATACATGAACAACGAATGTAGCTTTAAAACTAAAAACGAAAAAAAGTTAAAAAATTATTCATTCATTTTTTTGACAAGGATTATCCGACAGTGAGTTCGAGCTACGACGGAAGGGGTTCGACATATCCGAATTGGAGTGAACGATGTTTAACTGTAGATAGGTTTAACATTAAACATAAAAGAGACACACAATTACTTTATGTACATATTGAAAACTTTATGAAAAAAGAATCTGCCGTGCTTGTTAAATGATTCAGTCTCGATGTATTTATTTTTCAGGAGATGATACACGTGTCTTTTCCAAGACGAAACGGAAATGGTCGATGAACCTATCCGTTGAAAGTATTGATGATAATAACAATGCAACAGGTCTCAACATGGATGATCCACTAACAAGTACACCAAAGTCAAAACCGCCGTCCAATGTCCGTTGAAGAGAGTTTTATGCCCGTGAGAAGAAACTCTAATGTCAGCTGGAGAAAGTCAGATGCCAGCTGAAGATGATCTTATATTGACTGATGAAGGTCTAGTGACAGCTGAAGAAAGTATAATGTCAGCTCAAGAAAGTAATAATGTCGTCTGAAGAAGGTCTGGTGACAGTAGAAGGTCTGTTGTCTACTAGTGAGTGTCTTATGTCAGCCGAGGAAGGTGTAATGCCTGTTGTCGAAAATGTAATGCCTCACGGGTCAAGGAATGTAGAGGAATGTTTAATGCCTGTCGCCATGGTTACCGAAGACACATCATATTCTACTAATTTGTTGAAGTGTAAGATTTGCAACTTCCAGACCAAATTTAAGGGAAATTTGTCGCGGCATGTTACAAGGAAACATGCTCTTAAAAGATTCAGTTGTGACATTTGTAACAAGTCGTTTGGATACAATTATATCCTCTCTGAACACCGAAGATCATCTCACCAGGAGGAACGTTTTCTCTGTGAATATTGTTCTAAACCGTTCTTAACACGCAGCGGACTAATATGTCATAAAAAGTTACACCATGCCCAATCACCTTACAATTGCCCGATATGCGATAAACAGATTTTAAAGAAAGCACATTTTGATGGACATATGAATAGCCACAAGAATGAAGCGAAATATGAATGTACAACTTGCAAGAAGCGTTTTTTTTACAAAACAAGTTTAGATAAACATATGAAATCTTGCTCGGGCATTTCAGACAGATATACATGTTTGATTTGTTCAAAGGTGTTCAGGTGTCCATCATCCTTAAAGGACCATACTCGGGCTGTCCATGAAAAAGATTGATTTTCAGTGTCCATGTGGGAAGACATACAAGTGGCGTACAGCCTTAGCAAGGCACCAAAAGAAATGTGCAAAACGTTAAATTGTTATTTTGCTCCTTCTCCGCGTTATAATTCTAAGTTTCTTCACAGTTATTTTTATCGTTTTTATGTTTACCATGTTTACCAATGGGGGCGACGAGGTATCACTATGGGACAGTTGCATAGTTCTTAAGTAAAAATATGCTACCATGAAAAAATAAACACTAACATTGAAACATTTTCTTTGAAGATTTCATTCTTCGTTGACATTTTCACGGGTCATTCAGTAAGACTTGTATTAAAGTAAAAGATTAAACAATAAATGTAAAATCCTTACATTGAACATGTCGAATTTGAGAAAATTATACTTCTTATTAATGTTTTGTTTTTCATATTGATCCTGTTGTAAATTTTGTGATATTTTCGTTTGTATTTTTGCAATCAGTAATTAGGGCTCTATACATGATATCATGTATTTAATATACTAATCAATAGTTCTTGTATTTTATTGTAATCTGTCAAGAAGTGCAGTTATCACAATTATTTGTATTGATAATTAGGATTTGTTTTAGTTTTAACTGAATCATAAACTAAAATCATGTTATGCTTAATTCATTTGGCGATAGAGATTGGTTTACGTTTGCTAAGGTTAGATAAAAATCTGTGTACATTTACAAATTATTGTAATTAAGCGAGCATCTTGATAATACCTGAAATATTTGCGAATGTCAACGTTCTGAATAAAACTGTTCTTTTATTTTCAGTTTGTTTTTCAATTAAACTTTTGTTTACACGCATGGAGGAATTTTAATGAAAATCAGTAGAAATGTTTATCACTATGAGAATATGTGTCATGTGCATGAACCAGGTTTCGAGGTTAAAGGTTAAAGTCACACTGAGAGGTCATTGAAAATTCCTTTTTCGGAGCCGAACTTCTACATTCATCGGGGGATTTTAATGTAACCTGGCATAAATGTTTACCATTGTGAGGCCAAGTATTGCGAACATTATCCTTTGTACCAAACTCAAGGTCACAAATTGAGGTCAAAGTTTGTGTACAGAGCCATTTCGTTATCATTTATTGATGGATTGTAACATAAATGATAACTGGCATGGCTACAAGTGTGACATATGTAATTTAGTTAAGATTATTGCAACGTCAAGGTCACTAGAGCATATAAAAAGTAACTAGGTTTTTGCAAAAAAACACACAACCGGGAGAACACACCAACGAAAGCACAGGGTGATTTACAAAAACTCGCCGTGTTAAAAAACTTAAATTTGTGAAGGGGTAAAATTTTGCCTCTGAAAACCCAAATCTTTTTCGCCCAAATCGGGGTTTTGGTCCCGTTCTAAAAAATCAAAAAGCTCTGTTTTGTAAGGTCTGTTTCACCCAAACAAAAAACCTTTTCCCGTTTTTTTGTTTTGAGTCCTATTTTCCCCGCTTTTAAAAAAGACTGGTTCCAATATAGACAAGAAAAAAAATGCATATTATTTATTTTTAAATCCCTTTTATTTCATAGTTTTTCAAAATTTAAAAGGGGGCAGGAAATTTTGACAAAACCGTTTTTTAAAATTGGAAAAGTTTAACTACCTTCCATTGGATATATCACTTTAAACAATGTAATAAGTATTAACCTTTTTGTCAGCTACTTTCAAAATGTTACTTTTTGAATTCTACATATGTTTGAAGCTTTATCAGCTCTCCTAAAGACAATCACGAATTATTCATATAGTTATAAAGATAGGTGATTCAATGTCTGGAAAACAATTTTGAGTTTATTAAATGAACGTGGATTTTCACGCTAAAATTTTAATGATTTATTGATTTCCAGATTACACTGTTCTCATTTATATGTCCTTCAAACCAAATCGCTTATGACACATTATTTTGGAGCTGTCAGTTTTATGATGCTGGCGAATAGGCTTTGTTCCTCTTGCTGGTTGGTCTGGAGCAGGAACTAAAACAGACTTTCTCCTCGGTTTTCTGGTTTTTCTTTTGTCAAGATCAAAGATATGGTTCCTGAAATTAATTTAACAATTCGATAACGGTATTTATTCTAAATAAAATACTCAAGGTTAATCTAACTTCTAGGTCTCCTACAGCAAATTGTTGAATAATACGCCAGGCTTAAGATATTGTCAGTTTGACCAAATTCTGTCTGATGGGATTGCTTCCAATTGCTACAGATAATGATTTTTTGTTATGGTAATAACTTATCAGTAAAAAAATATAATCTACCCTAAACAGCAGCATCAATTATAAAAATACAATTTAATGGTTTTTAGTTGATAAACTGTATTGATAACCTCAGTCATATAAAAATGCTACATCGCGAGACAGATAGAGGATATTGAATGAGTGTAGGTTTAATACTAAATTTATTGAACGAGTTGAATAAAATCATATTATGCGAGCCTCTGGCGAGCATAATATGATTTTATTCAACGAGTTCAATAAATTTAGTATTGAATCTACACGAATATAATATTCTATTTATCACATATGTAAAATAAGAACGGTAAACTGTTAAAAACAGTCATTTTTCATTCGACGCGCCTACAGTGTAACGCTAACATTAGCGCGCTTTTACGCTGTTTTTCGCGCAAATGACGTTACGTCAAGGTGTTATTACACTAGTGTCATATCGTCTAGTGTAATATCGTTTTTATTAAATGGCTTTATTACACTCCTGCGCCGCGGTTTATGTTATAAACACATTTATTAAATTGAGGATCCTTACCGCATCGGTATACGTTGTATATCAGGGTAAAATTGCGTCGTCCTGTCAAGATCTTCTGTTATTTCATTTTCTCTCTGAAGCGTATTTTCGGGGTAAACCCTGACTCGTTTGGCAGTATTCATCACAAATGCTCTGCAATGAAGCATATAAAATAACTAGATAGAACAATAATTCAAAGTGTTTACAAATTTTATGAACATTTTTTTTATTTTTTAACAACGTAATTATTTAGGAGTCACATGAACATGCATATCTATTTAGTGGATGAAAGAAACCGGTAATATAAAATAAAAATGAGGTCCCGCTGGGCGGGACAACGCTCGACTTTTTATTTTTAAGCTAACAAATAATCGATTTAAACAAATATTCAAGAAGAAAATTAAAAGATAAACGTCTTCGTTTTTTTACTTTTAATAGGTCTGTCTAGAAACGCTCGTTGTTTTGTCTAAGTAGGAATTATTTCTATGAATAAATGTTAAAGTTAAGAAAATATAAGCAAAATTCAATAATTTCAAATTCATTTAAAGGTAAAGGTTATAATTGAAGTATGTATTATGTTCTTTTTGTCACATGAATTGTTTTGTTCATGTATGAATCAAATCTTTACGTACATAACAAAATTATGACCAAACTTTATAAAACTTAACCAAAATTTAATAATCTTACCTTGACCATCAAGGCCATTTCAACCTGAAGGTCAAGGTCAAGTCAACAATTGAGAAAGTCTTGTCCAAACCGTTGTTTTGTTCAATAATGATGGTAATCCATTTATCAATAACCAAGTTACAGTCAATTGTAGCAAAAGTCAGTGACAATTTAATAATGTAACCTTCAAAGTCATTTATGCCCCACGGCCAACTTCATTCAGTTTGACATAAATAAAAGTATTATTCTAAATAATGTTTAATCTTAATATAAAGTGTAACATTTAGAAGATTGTTATATTCAAGTTTAAAGACAAACCATTCATCCGCTAATAGAAAAAAATCGGCAAAATTTAGCAAAGTTTAACCTTAAAGGTCACTTATGAATCAAATACAAAGTTTAGTTAATGTTCAAGGTTGCTAACGGCAACGTCAACGACATCATGACTGTAACAATGTCTCTTTAAAAAAATGCCGAGCTTAAGTATCTATATATTATTTGAATAGATAAGTACTATGAAACACGTTTGTTAAAGATTAACTTTGAAAATTTATTATCTTTACCTGTCGGGATTTAGCTTCGTCTGCATTATATAGCTTGCCGTTTCTAATGCTATGGGAATATCATCAGCCATCAAACAACCTGTTGACTTAGGATCGACGTCTCTGAATTCACTGAACAGGTTCTCAGCATCTAGTGTGTTTGGTGCCCTGACGTTATATGAATTTCCAGGTATCAGGCTGTAAAGCTGTATTCTACGGTCAATGTTAGAAAGAATTCCTTCAAACATCACGATAGGCATTCCGGCTACGTGTAAACCTGGCGGAGGAAACTCTGCGAGTTTTGTTGAACCGAGTAACATATTGCGCATAGCTATTCGATATTGGTGTCGTTCCATCACATCTAGACCAGGCTCGTCTTCCGCCATGTACCATTCTCTAATTGTTTTACAGAACTCTGCTTCATGAAAATATTCAAGTTTTCTCATTTCAGCTTCTACTGCACGGCTAAATGTAAGTTGTGCTAACGCATTTGATTGTTTGTCGATTACGTCCTCGACCATAGCGATGTTTAGACCAACATGTGTCTCTCGATCATTTGTTGCTACGTCAAGCCATGCATTCCGTGAAACATTAAGTCCAGATATACCATGTTGCACAACAAAACATCGTGCATTAACAAAGAGGTGGTGGCAGTCCAATAGATAGACAATATGGCGGCCTAAACAAGGGAAAAACTCTGGTTGACTGTACCATATGTATGGTTCAGAAGATGTACCTATCGTTATGCCATCTTTAAATACAGATTTTTTTGCGCCAGTTTGGGAGGTCGTTGCTCAAAAACTCATCGGTTGCTACCACAGCATTTAGAATTTCTTTTCCAAATTTCTGTGACAAAAAATCCTTAAGAATATTTCTGAGAGATTTTGGAGACTTTTTCTTTGTGAGCTTAATTATTGTCTTTGATCCAAGTATATTTGAGAAAGCATTGACCAGTTGAATTTTCGACATATCTGCTAAAGTGATGTCACTATGTTTTTCTATATCAGCTTGTAAATATAAAGCACATGTGCCTAGCTCTTTCTTTGTGAATTTGCCTTTAACCACATCAGGGTGCGATGAGAGAAGTTTTTTCAATTCTGACTCACATAAGTTACTCCACTTGGACTTTTTACGGTCTTTATCAAATTTCTTTAAGTCGTTTATCATTTGATCATAGTCAATAGTTCGCTGGTTTGAACATTTAATTACTTCAGGTGTTATTAAATCAAGATCGATAGGTTCGCCAAAGACGTCCAGCTCATTATGCTCATCTGGATATTCTTTTTGATATTCACTAATTTCTTCGTTTATTAACAATGTTTGGTCGATATCATCTTCATCTTCATTGTTTTTTTCTATGTCATTTATGATATCTGGGGAAAGGCAATCAAGTTCTTTTAAAGTGTGAACATCTGTCGAAGTATTTTGTTTACTATGTTTGTTTGTCAATAACTGTCGTAATTTCGGAGGATTGTATAAATGTTTCCAGTCTTTTCCTACGATACCATATACATTAATTAGACCGACGAACAGCGTTCTAGAATCATCTATGGTTTCAATAATATCAACATGTTTATCAACAGTATCATTCTCCATTATCTTATTTGTCGACATCAACCTACTTATCTCTTCGCTTTTAGACAATTTTCTTATTTTCGCCCAAGAGTCTTTTGCGACCTGTAATACAGTTAGGGGCTCATCTTTATAATCACGAACACATAACTTGTAGAATTGTCCATCTGATGACAATGTTCTAACCTCCAGTCCTCGTTCTTGGCACGATTTTGTAACATGTTCGAGTATTGACCTTACGTTTTCACTTGACAGACTATATCCTGCTATGCCATATGCAACTGGAATGGCATGAACACGCTCACGTTCTTGTTTTCTATCTAAATCTGATAGAACAGTCACTAATACTTCTTTTCCAGGTGTTCTTAACAACTCGTATATTTCTTCGTGGGTTTTACCGGCTTTCAGAAGAGTTTGGGTAACATTTTTTAATTCCAACTGAAGTTGTTTCATTTGCCAGTCCACAGAATTGCCACCAGAGTGATTGCTACGAGCACACATTTTGGAATCAACAGCTGATGTATGAGAACATGGCCGACAGAATGATGCAGGGAACTCCGCAACAAGTTCGACTTTTTCAGCACAGTACTGTGCTATCATACTTTTTATGGTTGGCACATGCTCACTTTTCCGTTTAGGTATGTTCACTATTCCATTATCAGTATTATATACGCGTTCAAGTTCGTCGGTCAGAACAGTCCATAAGTCATTGTCAAAAAATGCTCTTAAAAGTGTGAAACTTTTCGGTGTCCAGCATACGTAGAATAACTTGTCACATTTTAATGCGTACATTTCTGAAAGAATTTGGCAAACATAATAGTTAGGTATTGTGTAGTTAACATCTGTAGTAAAAACTTTTCCTGGAACAGGACACTTGATCTCTATAGCAACACTTGGAATACCATCTACTCGGCAGCTTCCATCTGGGCTGATAACCATAAAGTTTTTATCAGTATTTCTTTCAATCATGTAACAACCTTCCTCAAAAAAAGTTGTTGATGGTTCATAAATGGGAATTACTTTGCTGACAATTACACCCACGCCGTTCAATTCGTTTTCGGTTCCATGTTTCATAGCTTTTATTGTTTCAGGTGAAAAGATTTCTTCTCCTAAAGTGTTGTTGTTTACTTTTTCTATGTGTTGTTTCTGTTCTTTCAACGTACTTAGTCCAAGTGCTTTGTACATAGTGGATCCCGTAACTTTTGCTTTCGATCTAATTTCAATCCAAGTGCTTGACCTTTGTTTCACTAAACTCGGATCAACATCACCATCACCTCGGATGTTACTCAAACATACATAATTGCTCTGTTCATATAAATTCACCGTCGATCCTATTCTGTAGTGTGTGTCACTTTCATTACAAGCTGCTGCTACAAGACCAAGTTTGTCATTTGTTTCTAAAGCATCTTCAATGCACATATTCAGCCTTAACAGCTGTGTCTTCATGCTGCTGATTGCATAATTGTATTTTGATTTCTGCCAGTTTTCTCCTGCTAATTTCAAAAAAGTGTCAATAGCTTGTGACTTTTTTACTTTTAAAATCCGCATCTCCTTTACACGCTCAGTCAATAATGATATGATGTCTTTAACGTTTTCGCAAACTCTCTCCTTTGCCTTCTTGGTAATTTCATGAATATCAGAGTGTTCAATCTCAATAAGCTTATCAATGTAGCTTTGCGTTTCGAATATTAAAGTATTTTCAACGTTAAATCGGTCTAATTTTTCCACATAAGTTGGCCTAGATTCATGTCCAAACAAGTCCACTTCGCCAAGCTGTTTACCAAAACCAGCCATTATCTTTTTACCATCTATGCACAACTTGTAAGATTTTGTTGTTGCATCCTTTGATTTACTCATTGCATCGATATTTGAAGTTATTATTCCAGGCCTTTCACAATCTAATTTATTGCTTTTCTTTTCTTCTCTCAAACTTTTAACATCTGGACACACAAAATTAACAGACTCGACGTTTGAAACGAGATCCTCTCGACACGACCCATCCATGACTTGACCTAAAGCTTTCATCCCCCCCATATAACGAATGAATTTTGCGTGAAACATTGCGTACCCCACGGACCAGAACTCCTTCACCTCGGGTGTGAACCGCATGCCATGAACATTCCCTTTGCTAGCATACTTAATCACATCCCAAAACAGCTGACTTGCAATGTGATCAACCTGAAATCTTCCATCAGATACCAGCTCAAAAAATGCAATCCAAGCATCGAGACGTCCTTTGTCCTCGAAATGCCTTGTAACCTTTGAGAGTACTCGTTGTAACTTTTCAACAGTCCTCAAGAAATGCTTCCTTTCAACAGTAACTGGAATCAGGTCATGTTCTTCAAATTCAACACTTTCAACTTCAAGTATTTCAGACGATGCACAATCTGCAAAGATACACGAATAATAGAAAATTTTCTGGGATGGCGTCATAGAAAAGCCTGAAAAGAATGTTCTCAATTATTCATCAAGCAATACTAAATTTAAAGGAAGCGGATTATTATATCACTCTCCCAATTATGTCAAACAGTTAAAATAGAATATAGTATCTACGTTATGTTTAAACTTACGATATAATAGTCTCTAACATTTCAGGATAATCATGGATAAAAACACAAGTTTGTTCAATTATGCTATGGAATTCAATGATGGTCATTGCACATGAATAAAATGGTCTGAAACATGAACGGAAGTACGATGTCAAAAGACAACGACAAAAAAATACAAAAAACAAAATTGAGAGAATAAGGAAAAACACAAAAATTCATTATTATTGGCATTTTCACATATTAGCATTCTCTTTTGTACCATCGTTTTTTTTTGCGTTTCCTTCATCGTTCATTTGCCCCTTGCCTGGTATGCGCCGAATGGTTAATTCAATATTTCACAACAAAATTGAGTAATTTTGAATCTGTAACAATGATTGCTGAGCTTTCATGTACATCATGTATATATCTTGTATATATGCAATATTCATGTTGATTGCAAATGACTTTTTCTGGCTGAAACCCGTATTTATTCGAGAGCTATAGAGTACCACGTTATCTGTCATTAATTCACTAAAGAGTATGAGTTATGTCAACCGAACCTGATTGGTTATTCTAATTATAGATTTGTCTAATCTTTTAAAAATAAGAACTACTAGAAATATAGATAAATATGGTTGTAGAAACCGAATGTACAAAATGCTAGCATGTTGATATTAAGTCAGATTTGTTTCTAATAGTACATCCGTGTGGATATTTCAATTTAACCACATGTACAATTAAATTACAGGACATAAAAAGGATATAGGTCAGAACGGCCGAGTTGTATTAGGCGCTGCTTTGATATTTCAGTTCTGTCCTTAATGGATTGAATCGAATCCTATTACTGTCAATGTATAAATTTGTAATTCTTGTTTTAATTATCATATATAACACCATTTATTTGTTTTTTATAGTGCTCGTTTACTGATGTAATTATAGATTAAAAACAATGTTTCCATTGCAGTGTTTATTTTTCATATCTAGCATTTTTCATTGAATTAACTACTTTGACTCGTTTTCGGAGCGCTTCGGTGATTTGCATTTACTCTGACATTTCCTTGAACTCCCACGTTTGAGAATTCATATATGGCCGATAAAGCGAAATTAAAATGGAGAAAACACAAAAAGTAATTATAACAAAGGTACGAGGATGAAAATGCGAAGATGAAAATGCGCAAGTACCATTGTTATTATTATATTATCAGATGGCCCTTATTTGTATCTATATTTTAAATCAAAGTAATTCAAAATCGAAAAATGATGGATGATCTTTCGTATATACCTTTCATATCAGTATCTTCAGCTTTAAGCTGGTCATCATCCTTAAATAACTGTTTATGCACAGTTTTGGTTGGTGTATTTACTCTTTTTATTTTTTGTATAGGGCTTTCTGTAGTATTTTTGGTAAGTACGTGTAGCATCCCACTTTCTTCCTGATAGGATATTCTGGATTCGTCCTGTCTTCTCCAGATATACTGAATGTTCGAGTTTTGATTTTGCCACAAGGCCTCATTGTTGCAAACGCAACTTTTCTTTTAGGGTGCATATTTATGATGTGACGAACTGTTTCGAACGGTGTCAGGAACCGTTTGTGACAGTATTTGCATCTGACAGCCGAATCCTGAAAAAATGACAGTTCTCTAAAAATTTACGTGACAAAATTATTTACACACCAAGCTATATACCGCATATTAACTTAACGTTGTCATCATATTAACGATACTGTATGTATGTCTATTATGCGAAGAAATATTGCCTTCACAAGAAAGAAGTAGTTGCTATAAATTCAGCGTTAACATTTCAAAGGAAATTTATGACATAAAACTATAGTTGACAAACAGGATACAAAGAAACATTTAGTGCATTCGTTCTGTTTCATAATGTCAGTATGAATTCGCAAAAATATCTAAAACACGCTCAAAACTAACATTATATAACCATTTTTTGTGTTAAGGCTGAGTGTATAACGTTTTCTGATGATTTACACACTTATTGACAAATAAAATACGCTTAAACGTGCCGTAATTAAGTCAAGAAACACACTGGCAGTAACAAAAGTTATCATAAGAACTCCGGAACATATTTTGAGTTATCACAAGAACTCCGTGACATTTGAAAAATCGGGTATAAATTCATTAACCTGGGCTATATGTTTGCAAATCTCCATTATATTTAGGTAATTAGGTAAAACAATAAAGAAGGTCACAAATGAAAATGTTAATATGTACAAATGAGCAAGTTATTTGGAAATTTTACTCAAAACTACCAGATTATTTTAAAAAAGGCGATAAAAAAGGTCTAAAAGGTTTTTCTGAAACATAATACAATATGTAGGGCTAGCTTAATTATCAAGGTTTAATTTAGCACCTCAAACTCCCCATTTAAAGGCAAAACTTACCATTTTTCATGTGTTTCCTCCAAGTCTATTGAAAGGTTTTCCATAGAAATCCGTAACGTTTTCCAGGAACTCCGAGACAGTTATCATAAGAACTCCAAACAAGTTATCATAAGAACTCCATCCTTCGTGTAACACTTCCTCCCCCGTGTTTAGGATCATCGATTCTTGTAGTTTAAGTATTGATGATTGAATACCGCTTAGAACGTGAAAAGTGTTGAACAGTGTTACATTATATATCATGAACAGAGGCAAAACAAAATAAAAGAAAACCGAGCGTGAGACAAAAACTGTTTGTTTTTAACTGAAAGCTCTTATTTTTCAATTTAAACAATATTCTTAATTATATTTTAAATGATTTTACAATAAATACATAAGGGGACCCTCTTTAGTTCCTGATGTCGCAAAATAGTTTAATAATAAACTAGTGATCAATGTTTCATTTCTACAGAAACGAAATATCCTTTTGCTATAGCATGTCAACGATTTTATAGGAATCCCTTTTGATTTTTAATTTAAATAACTTTTTTAGATTTAATTTTAAGTTTGTATATAACTATTCATTTTGTCAACATTATCAATCAAGTTAATTCTGCTATATTTTCGATTTTGTCATTTTGTGAGCTTCTGTTTAATCTTGACAAAACCATTCAATACTTTAAGGGACAAAGTTCATGAGATTAATTGACTACAAAGCGTTAAGTGCAACCATTTACACTTACTGATCGGCAGATCATTGTCTGTACTGGTCGCATGGGTGGGACCGGTTGCTACTAAAAGGCTAAGGGTAAACAAACGCGGTCTATTGCGTCTATTGTGTGAACAACATGAAAATAAACAGGGACATATACAAATGTTAGTGTCTGTCATGGTGCTGTGTATACTTATAATGTCTATAGATACTTTTTTATTTGTGTTTGAAGTATCGCCATACCTCATGTTTACACAACAATACATATAGGGCTATTAAATGGTTATTCATTCAATGAAATTTCTTTGATTATGTAAGATATTGTTATTGATTTGCACTCAGTATATTTCCATATATCTTTTTTTTTGTGGAAATGAAGGCATTCATTAATGTCCCTTGTTTATCAAGAAAGTAGTCGTTAAGTTGAATAATTCAATCATTATATGTACTTATTTCATTGAAAACAGAACATTAATCACCAGCATTCACTGATTGATTTCTTAGAATTATTCTGCTTAAAATAGTCTGGAAGCAGCTCTTTAATTGCATTTAGAAAATAACGGTACTTTCCTTCCTCGCGTTCAACGTGAATAGATATAAACATTTAACGTTTTCCAAGTGAATGATAAAAATGTGAAGATTCTTTAAAAACTAAATTCCCGACGAATGGTATGTCATTACGGAATGCAAAAAGTGCATTTGAATTTGATATAAAGACAATTCTATCCGATTGAATTATTGTCTGCAAATAATGACATATTCATCCCTCAAATGTTATGTCAACTCAGTTAATTTGTTAAAGCGTTCTTTCAAGATTGCTTTCTATTTTTTTATAATTCAATGCAAACAAACCCTTTTCAAGGAAAAACAGTACTACGCATATATTAAGAATTTGATATCATTAATAAATATTAAATGTTAAAGGTTATATTCTTCATTCGCATAGCAAAATAATCTTATATTTATTTTCATTGATAAACATCGAATCGTTAACATATTGTTACGATGTTTCAAAAGAATGTTACGTAAAATTTGTATATTGTATAATTGCAAATTTAATTCCTTGATTTAAATTGACAAAGTATAACGTTGCAAAATAATAATGCGAAGGAAGCGAGTTACGTTTTGCTTATTTAAAGATCTTCCCAAAATCTCTCTTGATTAATTAATGCAAAATATTAATATTTTATAAGTGATATCATATGGTCAAGTGTGAGATTAACAAATTAGAAATATTTATTTTGTGCTTTTCAGTGAATTACTGATTTATCCGTGAAAATTATCAAAATATAATTTCACAGTGAAAATTATCAAAATATAATTTCACAGTGAAAATTATCAAAATATAATTTCACACTTTTGAATGATGAGACTACGTTTTTAAGATTTTCCCCATGCGATACATTGTTGACAATTCTAACATTGTCCGGGCTACTTAGAGAAAAGCAAAGCTGAAATTGATAAATAAATGAAATTTCAAAAGTAATAAAACGAAGAAAACTCACTTCAATTCATTTAACCCTTTCTTCCATGAGCATATTGTGAAAAATGGCCGTTTTCACTGAAAGCCTCCTGTTACAAGTTTAAACTGCTATGAAACTATGAAAATACTAATGAAACTTGGCACAAATCATGACTGGACCATTGCCTTTGTAACGACATGCTCAGTCTTAAATGTACTGTTACCATGGCAACGAGGGGACATCTCAAAATTGCCAAAAATCAATATTTTGCCTCGATTTTTTCCATCAAAATTTATTTCAAAGTGCTGCAACTTCTTAAGGGATTGAGATAGAGTCAAAGGCTTTTCAGCGTTGGTTACACGTTACATTATGATCTACCTGGGGTCATTTTTAGCCTCTCACAAGTTCAAAATTTTCTTGGCGATGAGGGGGACTCCGCCCCCTTCAAACCCCCCTAACATAAGGGGGCACATCCCCCTTCTGGCAACCCCCTGATGTATCTTTTGGATGGGGGGCGGCGCCGAAAAAGTGCTCAATTTTTTTAGCAACATTTCTCAAACGAAAACATGTGTTTGGGGCCCAAATAGGACATTTTTCACTTTTTGAGGCCTAAAAAGGGGGGGGGGGTCAAAAGTGCGTTGTTTCGCGTATGTATGAGGTAAAGGGTTAAATTACCAATCACAAAATATCGTCTCTAGATTTTTGTTTTACTTTAAAATTTACAGTCTGAATAATAAAATTCCTTCCACATGCAAAACTGCCCTTGGTGACATTTGGGCATATTTAAGTATCCTACGAGCAATAACTGCCCAATAATTAAAAAAAAAACAATGACAGACATCACACATAGGTCAACACTTATTTATTGTCTGTAACAATTCTCAAAACAAATTCTTTCTTCTTACAAGATGTATGACTAACAAATCCAAATAATATCC